GATTAAATATTTGGGAACTACGCATGGACCTTAGAAATGACGATTGTACCCTTAGTTGACCTCGGGTTCGGGTAAGGACCCAGTTAATGGTTTGGACCCACGGGTTCGGGTCGTTACATGCACATTGGAGGTTTTTTGTGAGCCGGCTAATAGATAAAAGGTTAAAGGAAAATTTAGGTACATGAAGGATAGATGAAAGAGTAATATCAAGAGACAGACAAACATCACCCTTACTGTGAATGTAAGATGTAGAGCCATCTGCAAGATACACAAATTGGGTAACAGGTATGACATTGAAAGAAAAAATTGATAACTCACCAGTCATGTGATCATTGGCCCCAGAATCCAGAACCAAAGTAGGCTGCTTGGCCTTAACATGAAATGCAATAGGAGTACTTGTAGCAATAGTGGCAGTAGGAGTAGCTGAAGGAGCACCAACTATAGAAGCAAGGGAGCCAAGCTGGTCCTAGATCTGCCCAATTTGAGACTGAAGCTGGCTCAGTCCAGGAAATACAATAGATCCACCAGTAGTAGCAGGAGTCTCTCCAACAGCCGTAATACGAGAAGAACTAGTTCCAGATAAACGGTTCCTAGAAAATTTTTGCTTTAGTTTAGGATAAAGTTTGAAGCAACGAGCCTTAACATGTCCAACCCCTCCACAATGGTGACAAATAATCTAATCTCCAGAAGCACGTGATCTAAAGTTAGCTGCAAAAGCCATACTATCCCCAACAAGCTCAGACACTGGTAAAGGAACAAGTGAGGGTTGAATTAAATGGTGCCTGTGTGCTTCACCATCAACAGTAGCAAAGGCTTCCATTAGGGATGGCATTGGTGATGCATTCAAGATCTGAGACTTTAGTGGTTCAAATTCTAGGCGTAATCCCATAAAAAACTGATAGGTATGCTGACGATCAAGATGTTTGTCAAGAAGAGAGGCTGCCTCGGAAGGAAATTCACTGAGAGGCTCATATTGAGCTAGTTCCTCCTAACGAGATCTCAATTACCCAAAGTAATCAGCTACTGACAAATTCAGGCCTTCTTGCGAGGCTTTAACAATATCTTGGTATTATTAAAAAATACGAGCATCATTCCTAGAATGAGCATACATTTGATTCAAAGCAGTCCACAAGTCGTTAACAGAGTCATAAAACATGAATATATTATAAATGCATTCCTCCATAGAATTAAACATCCATCCTAAAATGGTGCAATTATCCATATCCCATTGAGCATATTTAGGATCTTTAATATCTCGCATCTTTTCAGTGCCCAAAATCCACCCTGATTTGCCTTTTCCACCAACATAGAGATGGAGGGAACAAGCCCAGGATGCAAAATTACGGCCATTCAACAGCACACTAGTAACTCATTGAGCCGATGTGTGTTGCGCCGAAGAGAGAGGTGTGAGGCTTTGATACCAAAAAGTAACTTGGTAAAATTGGTGCACTCAATTTGAGAGCTTGACTATCATTATATACAAGAGGAAAATTACAAATACGGAAAGCGAAGAATATCAAATTAGAATAAAGTGAATAAAATCAAATCAGAATAAAAATAAAATCCCTAAACATTAGCCTATAATGAAGACCCAATAAATCTGCCACAATCATTGAGTCAACTTATAGATTTGATTTCCAACAGTTAGAGTAAGATTTAACGTTAAAAATGTGTTGTATAGATATAAATTTAATATTATGTATGTATGGTAACGGATTAGATTGGACCATATCGGATTTTTCAAATCCAAATCCGTGAACCCGTAAAAAATCAATCTGAACAAGTAGATTGGATCGGATCAAATTCACGAACTTAATGAACACCCATTCCCCAATCCAAAAATAAAAAATAATAAAGAGCTAGAGAGAAGAAAAAAGGTAAAAATTACCCTAAATGTTTAAACACAATTTGAATAGATGTTTGTGAAGCTTTCTGTGCTTCTTTCAAAGTTTTCCCATTTATGCTGTAATGCCTCTTCAGCATGCCTGCCATTGCCATGTTCATGATCCACATTGCAGATTATTCATGGCATCGAAAACAATGCAATAACTGATTTCAACCGTTCAATGTGTGTACTCTATCACTATACTCTTTTTTTAGACCGCCAGACCCTCCTCCCCATTGCAAAAGACTTAAGATCAGAAGGAGCAAAAAAATGACAGAATGGAATCACATGTATGGTGAGTGGTCTGACTTCATCTTGACCAAGGAACATGACTAGGGCTCAGAAAAATCACTAGATTCATTTGTCACACGGTCACACCAAGACACTAGTCTAATAGTGAAAATGTACAGGACTATATATATTGATGTATGAACTAATTATCATAGCATTCTGATTTGATAATTGTGCCCTTTTTCTCAATATGGGGGAAGGGTCAGAAATGCCTTATGTATTGGTAAGATTGGAACGTGTAATGTATGCTGTGAAAACAAAGGGAAATGGAAGGCATTGTTAGAAAGCCACTACACTTCCTTTTTACAGATACAAGTGCAGATTATATGAGAAGAGGAAAGCTCTGCAGCTTTTTAGTTGTGTGATGTGTGTGTGTGTGTGTGTGTGTGTGTGTGTGATAATTACGTTGCTTTTTCATTCATGTCTATTCTCTAAAAGGAAATGGGTACCCACTTTCAAATGAAAGTATGTTGATGCAATAGAGTTGTGGGATTGGATAAAATGATTTACCATGACATTTTTAGGGGCTGTTTGGTAAAGAAAGTTTGCATTCACTATCATGCAAATTCAATATACATACTACAATATGACAATATATTTGGGCAAAACTTCAAGCATAATTGATCGAGATGTGAATAGGTCTATTCTGTTTATGTGACACATACTTTCGGCAACGGATAGGTGATGTGGGCCATATGATTGTACTTGTAAGGGCAGGTTACTTGCTCTAGTACCTTTGAGACTCAAAATGCTTGCAACTACTCTGAAATAAACTAGCTGATGATTATAATTTCACTTTGTTCAGTAATTAGTTAAATAACGTTTGAGAAATGAACGACGAATAGAGAATTTAATAGCCCAAAAACTAGTCGGAAATCATTAGTGCAATCTACTGGCGTTGTGTTTGCGTTTGATAGCATATAATCCGTATCTTGAAATTGAAATTTTAGAACATTTTTGGTCAGCCCTAAGGACAATCCAAGTAGAATAATTATCTACTTAATTAACAAATTGTAATACTATCATTAAGAGTCTGTACCCTTCTGGTCTTCATAACTTTATGATGCAATGTCCATTACCATGCACATTGTATGGAGGGAGGTCAGTTTTCAACTGAAGCCTCTCTCTTTTTTCTTTTTTCTTTTTTTTTTTTTTTTCCATTTTTCCTTAAAAAATTTTATGATCACTTTACAACCCTAGTGTCCCTATATATAAAGCCACCCCTGAGGTCAAAGAACAAGTCACAATCAAGCAGAAGTTTATAGGGGCTATAAAGACCTGAATCATGAGCCATGAGGGGGGCAAAAAAGCCAAACATTCACAATGCAAAGAGCCAAATAATCACTATAGTGAAGATGATATAGTGACCACCACCAGTAAGGTCAAGGATCATTCCACAAAATGACTGCTCTCAGGACCCAATACCAACCATAAAAGCTTGATTAAATAGGCATATTACCATATATATAGGATTGAAAAATTTGTAGTGCAAGACATACTCAAGGACAGGAACTTTATAGGTGCTATAAAGACCTGAATCATGAGCCATGAGGGGGTGAAGAGAAATGGATAAGAGAAAAAGAGCCAAATAATCACTATATTGAAGTTGATATATTGACACCACCAGTAAGTCAAGAGTCATTCCACAAAATGACTGTTCTCAGGACCCAATACCAACTTAAAAGTTTGATTAAATAGGCATATTACCATATATTTATATCTTGGATTGAAATATTTTGTAGTGCAAGACATACTCAAGGACAGGAAGAATAGCATTGAGATCAGTCCATTACTAGGAAAAGCAATGAAAGGTGTCTGCTGCTTACCTAACTGGCCCTCCTTTCCTTTGGTGTCCTCATCCCATAATAAAGACCAAGCCATCATCAAGAATTAGATCCTGCAAATTCTTCAAAACCAATATATTTTTTTATTTTATTTTTATTTATTTATTTTTTTTTTATGTCAATATCCGGACGCTATGAAGAATTATTTCGCAAGATTAATCATCTTATTACCCTGCTAATAAACACAAGATTTAATTAAGCTTCCAAATTCGAAGACAAACTTATAAAAGGTTAGAGGTATCTAAAACGTTTAGCAGTAATACTGCAACCATCCAAAGAATGCAGTGCATAAGTGGCCAGATCATGAAATTAATTGGGTTGATCATAGTTATGGAGAGTATAGGAGAGAGTTTATTTGACTATAGATCCAGTCCAAGCTACAGAAATTATTACATGGTCTTGGATTACATGGTTTCGGCCAATTACATACTACACACGCAAGCAAATATGTAAGCTTTATTTAATTTTTTAACTCGCATAATTACTTGTAATTGGGCAGGACCATCTAGTCCTGGACTATGTCAAAATTTCCCATTAAAACATTGTTTGTTTAGAATAAGCTGGTCATAAATTTACCAATAATAAAGAAGGGAAATAGGTAAATATCATTTCCAGATATCTATGATATGTCACTCACTCTTTGCAAGCATCTGATTGGAGATATCTGTCCCCAGATAGAGAGTATAAGAGAAGTGCACACAAGTAAATGTTATTGCTCTATGACTAACCAACAATTCACATGAATCACATGACCCACCAACAAATTTGAAAATCTAACCTGGGCCATCCTTGCTTCACAAAATTTTTATCAAGAGTACAAGCTGGGCTCCACTTTTGCTAGCATACCATTTAACCCAACTTTCACTCACTAAATTATTCATGCTCTTTGATCTTCCTCTCTCTCTATATATATTTATCCAGCTGGTTTTCTCCCCCATTCTCTCTCTCTCCCTCTCCCTCTCTCTTTCTCTCTGGTGGGAATGATGCTAAACCATCAAGCTTGTTGCTCAAGTTATGATTCTCAACCTCATTCAGGCCACCTCCAGCCAAAGTCGACATCCCTGCATTCCCAGTCAAGCCTTTCATCAATTCCTTCCCTAACTTCACAACACAAATATCCTCCTACCAGCCATCAATATCAATGCATAGCCACTCTTAGGAACCACAACTCCTACATATCCTCTCTTGCTCTTGCCGGGAAATTCATCTGCACCGGCTCTTCGGACAAAGAAATTCGATTGTGGGAGCGCAATGCTTTAAGCTCCGAACCCAATCAAGAAAATCAAACTGATAAAATGGTATTAGCTGGTAAGGGTGCCGTGAAATCCCTCGTAGTTTTAGCTGATAAAATCTTCAGTGCTCACCAAGATCAGAAAATCCGAGTATGGAAAATTGATGACCATAAGTACTTCATGCGCTTGGCCACACTCCCAACACTAAGTGACCGCGCCCACAAACTTCTAATACCCAATAACTATGTGCAGGTCCGGCGCCACAAGAAATGCACATGGGTTCATCACGTTGACGCAGTGTCAGCACTCGCCCTGTCAAAGGATGAGTCCCTACTTTACTCCGTTTCATGGGATCGGACGCTCAAAATTTGGAGGACAACGGACTTCAAATGCTTGGAGTCAATAAGGAACGCTCACGATGATGCAATAAACGCGGTCGCATTATCTAGTGATGGAGATGTTTACACCGGATCAGCTGACAAGAAAATCAAGGCGTGGAGGAAAAGCTTAGGAGAAAAGAAGCATTTTCTGGTTGCTACACTAGAGGAACATAAATCAGGGGTCAACGCGCTGGCATTGAGCGCCGATGATTCTGTGTTGTACTCCGGTGCATGTGACAGGTCGATAGTGGTTTGGGAGAAAGATGACAGTGGCAACATGGTGGTCATGGGTGCGCTTAGGGGACACACCAAGGCCATATTGTGCTTGGCTGTAGTGTCCAATTTGGTATGCAGTGGTTCAGCAGATAAAACAGTTAGGATTTGGGCAGGTGTGGAGAAATGCTACTCTTGCTTGGCAGTTTTGGAGGGGCACAAAGGCCCAGTCAAGTGCTTGACGGCAGCAAGTGATCGTTCCAATCCGTCCGATACATCATCTTCATATCTCATCTACAGCAGCAGTTTGGACTGTGACCTCAAGGTCTGGCAGATTTTGGTCCCTCTTCTTTAGATGACTACTTCTTCTAGTTCTTCTTTTTGCAGTTTTGTGCATAGGTTCACAAGAAGAATTTATATTTCCAGAAATTTCTTTTGGAGTGCTTTCAATGTGAATTTTCTTTTAATTTCCTCAATTGGGGTTGTAGTAGGGCTACTACTATGCTAATAACATAGTTGGACAACTCTGACTGATTTATGTGAGTGGGGGCACCGTGATGTCATTAATAATCCTAACGTCATGATAACATCAGTCTCTACTTACATAAAATTAGTCAGATTTGTCTGACTGTGGAACTCTATCATTATTCATGTTTCCCTATTGATGACAATTGTTCTGGTTTTTAGATGTGAAATTATGGTTTTATGACTAATAAGCGAGTGTTATGTGCTCGTAACATAGTTGAAAGTGAGTGGGAGCATCATGATGCCATTAATATACGTCATGATAACATTAGCTCATACTCACATAAAATTAATCGAATTTGTCCGATTATCGGACTCTCTATCATTACTCATATTTTCCTAAGATATTTATTTTGGTTTTTAGATGTTAAATTGTGATTTTATGACTAATAAGAAAGTGTTATGAGATTTGGACACAACATTCCAAGTTTTGATGGATTGGTGAGTAGATAAAAGACACTTGTGGGTCATTGGGTGACAATTTAGAAGTTTTCATCTTGTTTTCCCAAGGGAAAAGAGGTTAAAAAACTATATCTTATTGAGTTGATTATGAATATATGCTCACTGAGAGTCCTAGAGAAGCTTTTATCTTTGATTTTATAAAGAAAAAGATAGTAGGGAGGGATGGTCCTTCCCTTGCCTAATTCTTTTCAAACACAAGTTTTTAAAGCCTACCTTGGCTGCTGCTTTTCTTTATTTAATGCAGCGACTTTTCTGTTAAATGTTACTAAATAAGGATTAGTTAGATGGTGGGGCTCAAAGAGACCAAGGTCATTAAGGTCACAAACAAATAACTATTATAAATAAGGGCCAGTGAATCTCCCAATTATTTTCACCCTCTTCTCCATAAGTTTAATTCTAAGATCATTCCTGTATTCAAGTCCTAAACTTTAATTATCAACCTAAGTTGCCATATTTACTACACTTTCATCTTTCAATAAAGTCTTCTTTTCAGAAGCAGGTAGACAAAAGCAAATATTGTTCCATTTTCACACGAAAATGAAGAAACTTACCAAAAAAAATCACTCTAATCATAAAAAAATTTCATCACTACAAAATCGAAATAACACTCCATTATTCTTCTAGTCATATATTTATGTGTGCATATGTATGTATATATAATCGGTGTTTGTACGCACCCTGCTTATGATGCGGCTAAAGGTGTTTCCTCAGAGAATGCTTATACTACAATCGGAGAAATTTGATCCAAGGAAAAGGTTATGCAAATCTTGAACAACTCTTCTCTGGGAGCACATAGAAAGGTTCATATCTTCGATGCTAGACAGCCAGGAATGCTATGGTCAAGAATAAATGGCTATTCAAAAGTCAAGTATGCAGAATGAGATCTATTTAAAATGTAAAAGCAAGAATTTAAGAGTGTTAACGTACACTGTTATGCCCCCTTGGTTGAGTTGATTTTAAAAAGAGAAGTAGGCTCATTTTCCAAATGCTAAATTTCAAGTAGGCAAACCAAGAACCCCACTTCCCCTTATAAGTAGCAATAGCATTAATAATGCACTGCTTTAAGGTAAATAAATAACACCAAAGGTAGCATTCATGTTGAGAAAAGAAAAAGCAAAATGCAATACATTATTTTGAAAGGCAAAGAAGCAAACACAACCGGTGATGCAATTATAATATTGAATAAATAAAGCAAAGTCAGATTTGGCAGCATATTATTAGAGAAATCTACTATTACAAATATCTTCAAAAGTTATATTATATTGTTTATTTAGGAGGTTCAATGATTTGACCTATTTAACTAATAACAAGTGGAGTTTGAAGGTAGGCAAAAGTCTTCTTTCATATGCCCACAGTTACTCCTGTTTCAAATCCAACTTCTTTATGTTGTGACCAAAGTTGAAATTAAACCTAGGGAGTAACAACTAGGTACCACCTGTTTCATATACCAGTGAGACCTGCCATTCCTAACTTAGGTACGGTGTTTAATTAAATATGTATGGTCCACATGAAAGGCATATGGAAAAAAGGTTATCACTTTTAATCTAAGTTTTGGATGGATAATCAAGTACTAGGAAGAAAAAAGCTTCTCTACAATGCCTTTCAACTTCTTAATAAATGATTTTGATATCTGTATTCGACTATTAATATAATTTTTGGAATATGGTACAAATCAAGAGTGTACTGCATGATCATAGACATGCACCATAAGTCACTCTCCCACATGCAGTGCATGCAACCTTCTAATATGTATTAGATAACTCATATTTCTTACTAGTTGTTGGGGTTCTTTTTTAATTAACACAATAAATCAATGAGTAATGGTGCTATCAAGATACAAATATGAGGGAAAACAGAGAAGAGGCTTGGTGAAGGAGGAGAAGAAGACCAATCTCCAAGATTAAGATGGTGGTAGGGTGAGTATACAGTATTATGATAGTTTTCCTTTTCCAGTGCCCTGTTCTTTCATGGGATAGTGTTATTTATAGGCCAAAACTGTGTTGGTCATTATCCAACAATCTTTCACTTGCCTGGCTCCTAACCATGATCACATGGGTCGTCCTGGCAGGCCTGGGAACCTAAGAGGTCCAATCCTCTCATCGACCCATGCACTATGTTGCTTCTCCCTTATTTGGGGCATTAAATGCTTTTTGTGTTTGCTTAGCCGCTGGTTGGCCAAGCCTGTCATAGCATTAAATGTGAATTTAAGGTTTGCCGTCATACTGTATGTATAATTCCATCATCTCGTTGATTGGGCCTAGCGGGGAGCGAAGGCACTTCTTTACTTCTCATCCGCCAATTCAAGATCCTTCTAAGTTTCCCAAATTTTGGATCCCTCATAGCCGCGAAAGCCCTACCTTTGTTTCGTGCTGTGATTAGGCGAGCTTTCTGGGGTTCTAACATTTAGAGATGTTTGTTCCTCGAGGCTTGGTAGGCCTGGCACGGTGCCAGGGCCTAAGGTGCTCGAGGATTAGGTGTTCGAGACTCAGTGGGCCTGGTGTAATGCCAGAGCTTGAGATGTTTATGGGTTGAGCCCTTGAGGCTTGGTGAGCCCAACACAACGCCAGGCTTTAAGGTGCTCGAGGGTTGGGCTCTCGAGGCTTGGTGGGCCTGGTGCAACGCTAGGCCTTGAGGTGCTCGAGGGTTGGGCTCTCGAGGCTTGGTGGGCCTGGTGCAGTGCCAGGGCTTGAGATGCTCGGAGGTTGAACCCCCGAGGCTTGGTGAACCTCGTGCGACGCCAGGGCTTGAGGTGCTCGAGGGTTGAGCTCTCGAGACTTGTTGGACCTGGTGCGGTGCTAGGGTTTGAGGTGCTCGAAAGTTGAGTTCTAGAGACTTGGTGGGTCGGGTGCGGTGCCAGGGCTTGAGGTGCTCGAAGGTTGAGTTCTCGAGACTTGGTGGGCCTGGTGAGGTGCCAGGGCTTGAGGTGCTCGAGGGTTGAGTTCTCGAGACCTGGTGGGCCTGGTGTGATGCCAGGGTTTGGAGCCTTCGAGGCTTGGTAAGCTTAGTGCGGTGCCAAAGTTTAATGTAGATTTTTGACTTTTCAACTTGCCACGAGGTTTTGGTTAGGGGTTGCGCTGACTTGCCTATGTGCCATGTCATCGTTAGTTAGTGACACCCACACTAGTTATCTTACTCTTCATGTTGGTGTACTGCAATTTAGACATAGTATGTGTGTCTGTGTGTACTCTCTCTATGTCTTACACACTGTATGTGCAAAAATTCCTCCAACTTGATAAAGTCTAAGAACCTTGCAATATGCTTAAGAATAAAACAAATAAAAGAATAATACTAGCAGAGAATTGCTTATATCTTTATTGGGAGGTCTGTACCTCTATTTATAATGATTTACAAGGTTAAATTTACATAGGACTCACATTGTTTTTCGCTTAAGAATATTCCATATAATATTAATTTGTTTCCTTATAGTACAAGTTTACATAAGAAGATTATAGTAAGAAGGTCTCCTCCGTACTGGATTCGATTTACTCATAGGCCGGATCTTTGTTTGAGAATGGGCCGATGTACGTTTCATGGCTTAATATCCCGTTATCGGACTGGACCTGAACTATGAGCTTTTTGGGCCTCAGTTGGGCTTTGGCCTGGTGTTCCCTTGACTGGTTCGTCTTGATACTTTGCTTGTGGTTCCTACATTCTAGCTTGGAATGCTTCTATTGGAGGGGAGATTTTCCCCTCCACACTTTGCCCCCAATTCTCTCCTAAATTAGGTAACGGTCTCTATTTTGAATGGAATTTGAGTATAGAAAATTGTTGGGCCACTTTTTAATTAGGGTTTACCCTTTTAAATGTCAAAAAGTCTATCACAGGTTCTCTACATTGAATTCTAAGTGATTCCGGCTTGAACAGTGCATACAATTGATCTATAAAGGTAACTTGGTCATTTCACAGTGATATGAAGACTATTCAAATGATCTAAGGAAGGTACATTGTCTTGAAGACTCTCTCTGTAAGTCTCTCAGGGTTAAAAACCCTAATACAGACAGTGATATTTTGCTATAAAGTATTTCAGGGGAAATTAGGTCTTTTCACACGTGTATTATATTGTAACGACCCGAACTCGAGGGTCCAAATCATTATCCGGGTGCTTACCTGAACCCGAGGTCAACTAATGGCATTAAGGTCCTTTCTTATGTCAATTCCTAATATACACATCATCCCAAGGCTTACAATACACCCTATCACTAAATATCTAAAATGGGTCACAAGGGTAGATGGGTTGAGTTGAGTCGGCCGGCTGGCAGTCTTGCATTGGCCGGCTGAAAGGGGAGGGGCGGTCGGCTGATAGGGTGTGTCAGCCGGCCGAAATGATGCATTTCTAAACCTAACTCTCTGACTTTCCTCGAAATGCACTGTCAATTGGCTGGCTAGTCTTGCCAGTCAGTCGACAGGCCTGGAAGCTGCAAAATCTGTAGGTCATGGGTTCTAAGAGCTTGAATGCTCCCAAGCTAATTTGTGAACCGAAGTATGATGTAAGACTTGTTCCAACTCACGAAAAATATTACATAACGCCCTATAATCTTTATCATCAACACTTACTC